AAAGCCTATCAGCTACTAACTTGTGACTCAAGGACTAGGTATTCATTTGTTCACAATTCTTTGCATACTCACTCCTTAACTTCTTAAATCAATAATAAGAAAAAGTATCTCTGAAATTTGTATAGCTATTTTTGGTGTTCTTCCTTTTACATTGGGACGTGACAGTGTATTTATCCAACATTCAGCAACATTAGTCAAGCTCCCTCCCATACCACTTTTCTGTCAGTAGCCCTGGTAATATTAAGGCCTCAAGGAAGTGAAGTATAACCCCCAACCCACAAAAGACTGAGGGCCCTGTCCTAACTTCCCTGGTTAAATTGCTTTGTAAAGACCCACTGTGACCTTTTTTTTGGGGGGGGGTAGGGTAGGGGTGGGTGGGGAGTGCAGTGTGGGGTGGGAGTGGGGGTTTCCAGACAGAGTTTCCCTGTGTAGCACTGGCTGCCCTGGAACTCGATCTATAGTCTAAGGTGGCCTTGAACTCCGAGATCCACCTGCTTCTGCCTCCCTAGAGTTGGGATTAAAGGTGTGAGCCACCATCACCTGGATACCCCACTTCTGGCATTTAAGAAGACTAATTCCAAAATTGCTTCAATTGCTACTGATCACCTTTCAGGGCTACTATTATCCTGATATCACAACTTATGAAAGATAATCAGGCTTTCTTTATGAGCTCAAGTTGAGCTCAAACTATCCCCACGCTCCCACAGCCCAAGTGCTGAGATTGCAGTCATGTGCCACCACACCCAGTATAACTTTTAATAAATTAAACTAAGAAAGTCTCATAAACTAATACACTGTGACAAGCAGAGTTTATTTCAAGAACGTGAGGATGGACTGGGGATTATTAAATCTATTTGTTCAAGTCAATCATTATATTGATGATCAAGACTGAAACATAGCACACTGAAATAGAAGTAATAATTGATAGTATTTAATATCCTTTCATGTAGTAGTAAACTAGGGATAGAAAGAAACTGACTTAGAAATGGTAGTGTATTTAAAGTACTTAGCATCAACTAGGGACCTGTTCTTGTTTTATTACACTGAAGCTCATTATTATCTATTGTAGTGATATATTATTTATGATTTATTAAGGCTTGCCTAAGGATTTAGAAAAGCAAAGGCAGCCTCAAGATATAAAGATCAAGCAGTGGTGATATACACTTTTAATCCCAGCAATCAGAAGCTAGGAGGTGGTGGTACACACTTTTAATCCTAGGACTCAGGATTAAGAGATAGATGGATCTCTCTGAGTTCAAGGCCACCCAGATCTACACAAGATTGAATTAGTGTAAAAGAGAATTATTGCTCACACTTTTAATCCCAGCACTAAAGGGCTATATAAAATCTCAGAAAAGATTCATTCTCCAGCCACGATGAGGAGAGGTTACAGTCTGAGGCTTGGTGGAGACAGGGTCAGCTAGTAAGCCTGAGGTAAATGTAAGAAGCTGGTGACCAGTTGCTTTGCTTTTCTGATATTCAGCTTGAAGTCTGAACCCCAATATCAGTCTCTGGGCCATAAATTTATTTGAGTTACAGTCCATAATCTATATAACTGCTATTACTCATTAATCTCTGAAATTTTCTGAGGATTTAGAATATCATCTTATTTGGAAATGACATTATTGTATGTATAAAATTCACAGATTGGCTGATAAGTTACAGGACTAATAAGACATTTTCAGGATGGTATGAAAGAAGGTAAATCCACAAGAATAAACAGTTTCCCTAAATTATAGCAATAAAAACTATTCCACTTGAAAAAAGTTATAAAGTATGTAAAACAAACACATAAGAACTGTGCATATTTCTGTAAAAATGACTTAAATGTACTTGAAGATGCCCCAGAGCTGGGGTGTAACACAGTGGTGGAGCAGGGGTTTAGCTTCTGGATTCAATGCCCAGACATCCCCACCAACACATAACCTAAATACTGGAAGAAGCATGTTCTAAATGAGAAGTCATTATTTTGAAGAAAAAAAAATTGAAAAAGAAAATTAGAAGATGTTCCTTATGAAAGAGCAAGTACATTAGGAATCTATATATTATAATGCCATGACATAACATAGAAATAAGCAGATGGCTAGCAGACAGATAAGAATACTCAGAAATATATGTATATTTGCATATGTATGCAAATTTAACTTCAAAGCAGTGAGTAAAGAACAAATTATGCTATGCAATAAATATATGGACAACTGGTTAACCATTTGGCAACATTTCTTTTTATTAATTTCTTAATTGAACAGTTTCATTTCTAAGAATCGGTTCGAAGGAGTTTAATGGATAAATATCTGAACAAAAATAATGATCAAGCAACTTTTGGGAACATGAAACCCTTGTGTGTGTGTTACAGTCGATTATTTCAGATATGTGTGTAATGTCTAAACGATGGAACACCATCAGTCTGCTTTAATGAAATAGATTCATGTATACAGGAATGGAAGGATACTATATTTAAATGTAAAGAATCCGTTTCCAAAACTGTGGGTATGCTTTGACCTATTTTTGAAAATGTGTGAAGAGAAATTTTTTCTCCTACTACTTCTTTGCCTTTAAGAATACTCCACTGTCCTTAAATGCATTGGCACAGGAGACAACTTCCTGAACAGAACACCAGTAGCACAGACACTGAGATTGACAATGAATGGGAACTACTGCAAATGAAAAGATTCTGTAAGGCAAAGGACACTGTCAATAAGACGAAACGGCAGTCCATAGAATGAGGAAAGATCTTCACCAACCCCACATCTGACATCTGACAGAGGGCTGATCTCCAAAATATACAAAGAACTCGAGAAACTGGACATCAAAATACCAAATAATCCAGTTAAAAAATGAGGTACAGATCTAAACAGAGAATTCTCAACAGAAGAATCTCAAATGGCCAAGATACACTTAAAGAACTATTCAGCATTCTTTGCCATTAGGGAAATGCAAATCAAACTGACTCAGATTCCATCTTACACCAGCCAGAATAGCTAAGATCAAAAACACTAATAATAGCTTATGCTGGAGAGGATGCAGAACAAGGAGAATGCTCCTCCATTGCTAGCAAACTTGTACAGCCATTTGGGAAATCAGTATGGTGGTTTCTAAGAAAATTGGGAATCAATCTACCTTAACACCCAGCTATACCAACCTTTGCCATATACCCAAAAGATGCACACTCACGCCACAAAGACACTTGCTCAACTATATTCATGGCAGCATTATTTGTAATAGCCAGAACTTGGAAACAACCTAGACGCCCCTCAACCAAAGATATTTACACAATGGATTATTACTCAGCTATTAAAAACAATGACATCAGGAAATCTGATGCAACTAGAAAACAAAACAAACAAACAAAAACATCCAGACCCAGAAAGACAAACAGGGTATGTACTCACTCATAAGTGAATATTAGGTGTAAAGTAAGGAATAACCAAGCTATAATCCATAGCCCCAAAGAGACTAAATAACAAGGAGGGCCCAAAGGGGGATACATGGATCTCCCTGGGGAGGGAAAATAGAAGAGATTTCCTGGGTAGATTGGAGGCAGATAAGGAATCAGGTTGAGGGGTGAATGAAGGGGAAAGTAAAGAAATGACTTGATGGAAGGCAGCATTTCAGAGAAACCTGATGTAAGGGAAACTCCCATGAATCTACAAGGATGACCCTAGCTAAGACTCCTAGCAATAGTCAATATGTAGACTGAACTGGCCATCTCTTGTAGTCAGATTGGTAACTACCCCCAATTGTCATCAGAGAGCCTTCGTCCTGTGGATGATAGAAACGGATCAGAGATCCACAGCTAAGCACTGGGCCAAGCCCTGGGGACTCCTGTTGAGGAGAAAGGAAGAATTGTAGGAGCCAGGAGGTCAGGGTCATCACAAGGAAACCCACAGAAGCAACTGGCCTGCTCATGGGCTCACAGATTATGGCCCAATGGCTAGTGGACCTGCATGGGACAGGTCTTGGCCCTATGCATATGTGTGGTTTGGTCTACTTGTGGGCCTGTCCTAAGGCTTTGGGGAACCTGTTCCTAATGCTGGGTTGCCTTGCCCACTTAGTCCTATCTCAATGTGATATGCCATGCTTTTTTGGCAGTCATGGGAGGCCTGCCCCTTTCTGAACAGAGGTAGAGGACGGGGCAGATTGGGAAGGGCAGCAGAGGGGAGATGAGGGAGAGCTTAGGAGGGGAGGGGAAGCTGCAGTCGGAATGTAAAATAAATGAAAAAATTAATTAACAAAAAATGTAAGCAGTTAACGATCCCCCCCCCCCCATTCATATGTCTTAGCTCTTTTTACCCAGGTAACTTCAGTGCAAGTACCTACTACTTGTGGCCTTAGCTTTCAAGACATTAGGTAAATGTGCTCAGGGACCCGTGTACTTGGCATGCTGTCCATAATTTCATGTTCTATCAGCTTGCATTTCCAAATTACTTCTTGTTTTCTTCTCTCATTTCTAAAATCCAGGAGGGCAGGGACAACTTGTATATATAGGTCATATAAGTCATGTATACTGTCAAGGCCAGTGACACCTGATCCAATAACGCTTTCTTCCCATACTGCAAACACTTAGGCACTTGATGTTCATATTGCAAACACGTAGGTACTTGATGTTCATATTGCAAACACGTAGGTACTTGAGGTCTATCGCTACACCCTTAGGTAGAACTATCATCATGTCCACTGGGAGGGAGAAGGAAACAAAGGGGTTTTGAAGCCTGACCCAAATGCCATTGGTCGAGCTGAGCTCCTCAGGCCTAGCCCTGGGCCACTAGAGTCAGTAGAAGGTGACGTTAACAAACACCGGCTCTACAGGGAGGAAATACAACCTGCCAAGCCTGAGGATCACAGGGCGAGATAGGCTGGCTGGGTTTAAACGCCTTTACCACCCAGGTCAAAAGCCCCGCCCGCGACCACATGCGGGGAATTTCGGAAGGGCGCCTCGGGGGCGGGGCGAGCTCTTGTGGTGGGCGGGACCACTGCCGATTGGTTAGATCCAGGCGGAAGTCGGGAGGTTCGATGTTCCGAAGACGCCAGCTTGTGACGGGGAGGGGGAGGAGGAAGGCTTCCGTAAAAAGGTGCCTTTCGGTCCCTCCGCTCCCGGGGGCCCTCGGAAAAGGCCCGCCATTCCGACCCCGCGGCTAACCCCTCCCTCAGGCTCTCTCCGCTCGATTTCGCACCGTTATGTGGGAAGCGAATCCGGTGAGTAGCCGGCGGGACGGGGCGGGCCCGGTGGGCGGGGTTGCCTGAGAAGGGCGGGAGGCGTTCCCGGGAACTCGCCCCCGCGGTGCCTGGGGCTCCGGGTTTGCGTTCCGGGGTCGTGGCTGTCCCGGGTGTCTGTCGGGCCTCCTGTGGGCCGCGGTCCTGTCCTTCTGAGCCGTGGGAGCGTTCGGTGGCCGCTTTCACGCCTTTGCTTTCCCTTTTCTGATTGTGGATTTTACTTCCGGGGGCTTCTCCGCCTTCGCTTTTTCCTTTAGTACTATTTTGTATTTTGCTTTCTAATTGGGATTACTGGCTTTCAGATCTGCTAATTTCTTTCGGCCCCGCACCCTCATTGCTACTTCCCCCCCTTTTTTTTTTTTGGAGCTACGGGGGTTTTAAGATCCTCTTCATACACTGAGTATCAGAGGATGACGTTCTAGGATGTTTTCTTTACGTGGTTAGAACAATGATCTGGAATCCTTTGTTTGCCTTCAGTAGATGTCTATGTCTGCAGGCATTTTTTGTTACTTTGCATGCATGCATGCATTCATTCATTCATTCATTCATTCATTCATTCATTCATTCATTCATTCATTCATACTCCAACCCGCCACGAATGAGGAGGGAGATCTATTTGGCAAGAATGTTCAGCTCTTGTTACGGGAATATGGTAGTAAGAAAAAAAATGCGTACCGAAGTTAGAACTTCGGAATTGACAGGCAGAATCACATTTCAAGAAATTTGTGGACTTACTGTGTGAAAATACCCCGGAGGCCTAATTAATCATTAAGTTGACTTTAATAACTCCCACTGTCAATACTTAAAATAACCCTTTTGCTATAACCAGTAACTCCTCCCTTCCTGATTCTGGAATGTATTTCTTGGTTAAATCTGTCAGAAAATTCCCTGATGTTTTAAAGTTAGTACCCAGTAGAAATGAGCCCGTTGATTGGGATTTGGGTGCACATGTGGTCACATTCCATTCCATCATGACAGTTATCAGATGTTTTTGATTCATGCATTATAATATTATAATCAGTTCGGATTAGAGGGAGGTACTTGTTTGGATATGATTTTTAGCAAAACATTTAACATTGGGATAAAATTTGCTTATAGATGATCATACCTTCATTCACTGTTAACTATTATATATCTTCATTTTATATCTGTATCCATCTCTATACATATATACATATACATATGTATACATATACATATATATATGGAAATGGAGTTGGTTTTTTATTAGTAGCCCCTTTCTATTGATTTTCCACAAACGCCCATTAGCAGGGTATATGTTGTGTTCAAGTCACACACTATAAATCCTCTGAATTGTCTCTGTGAACGTGATATGTTCATTGTAGTATATTCACTGGAGGACAGATCCTGTTGCATAACAAATACTTGTTGCTTTTTCACTCTCCCCCCCCCTTTTTTTTTTTTTTTTTTTTTTTTTTTTTTTTTTAAAAAGATAGGGTTTCTCTGTGTAGCTTTGGAGCCAGTCCTGGAACTCCATCCAATAGACCAGACTGGCCTTGAACTCACAGAGATCCCGCCTCTGCTGGGATTAAAGGTGTGTACCACTGCCTCCTGGCTACTTGTTGACTTCTTGACAGTGACTGGCTCAGTAATGCACTAAGAGGTTTCTACTCACCCTGTTCATTTTTCCTTCAGGATCACACTTATATTTGTACTATTGGGCCAGTTGTACTTCGGTGAGAATTGCAAAAGGTCTAGGGAATGACTCATGTATTTGGTTTGTTATGTCATTATTTCTTTGTAAAAACGGGCCCAGTTTTCTGTGGAAATCATATGTAAGACTTCTCTTAAGTTTGCTAAGCAAGCTGACTTTTGTTAATGAACAAACAGCCATGGGCTCTTTTTTTTGTTCCCTGTGTCATCCTCACATGGCTGAGTGCTACTGTGAGCACCTCAATGTTGTTGACAAGCACAGCTTATTTTTAAAAAAATTTTATTTTATTATAAAAAATTTATTATATGTATATGAGTGTTTTAACGTCATGTATATTTGTGCACCATATTCATGCAATACCTCCAGATGAGGGTGGATGGGCCCCCTGGAACTGGAGTTAGCTGCTTTGTGGGTGCTGAAATCAAACCCTGGTCCTCTGGTAGAACAGCCAGTGTCTTAACCATAAGGTCATCTCTTCAGCTCCCACAACTTAGTTTTTATTTTATTTCATTTTATTTTAAGTGAGTTTCTTTTGACAGAAGGGGCATCTGCAAAGTTTGTCTAGCTTTGCTAGGGAATACAATTGTCACCCTAAGCCATGCATAACTGGGAAGATTTGAAATTAAGTAGAAAAGTAAGGCAAACCCCCAGCCACAGTGTACTTTAAATATCAGTGCAGAAAACATTTGCATTCCTGACCGAATGCTTTTTGTAATGAGGGAAGGTTTTGTTAAGTGATGGAGAACTGATTTCGTCTAATTTTACCTTGTAGTTTTGATAGTCTCCATGACTTTAAGGCCTTAACCTGAAAATAATATCTCTTCTGACTCCTATGATAGAATAGCTACTTTGTGAAAACTGTTTCATGAATATTTTGAGGGCATCTTATACTGGCCCTGGTGTGGATCCACTCAGAAGCAGTCTCCCTATGTTTAAAGTCTCCAGGAAGTGGTTAGGACGTGGAAAATTACTGCAGACTTTGTAATATTTCCTGGGACCGAGGGGGTGACAACCCAAAATGAGATACCCAAGGAGAAATAAAGATATTTTACTTTTGAATACAAACATAATGTCTATATTGTTCTGTTTAGCCCTTCTTCCCAGTTGAGTCAGGTTGACAGGAGCAGCAGGCAGTTCTCTGGGTTCTTGGCATCTCTCCATCTATTGGGGAGAGACCCTGGGACATTTCCTCACTTATGAAAATGGCAGCCTGTAGGAAAAGTCAGAGGGTTACTTACTGTTCTTGCTTTGATTCTGAACCCTGATTTTATCTCTCCTTTCTCGGCTGTTTTTCTGTGTCTTCTCTCTGATGGGAATGGATTAAGTGTTTCCCTGGAATTGTAAGGCAGGAGCAGACTTCAGGGTTTCTCTGTCCACACATAAATGAAGAGGACTGAGAAGTAACAGACATTAGTTTAAGAGTTGTCTTAGATAGGGTTCTATTGCTGTGAAGAGACACCATGACCATTGCAACTCTTGTAAAGGAAAGAATCTAATTGGGATTAGCTTAACAGAGGTCTACTTCGTTTAGTCCATGGCGGGAGTGTGGTGGTGAAGACAGACATGGTACTGGAGAAAAAGAGTTCTATATCTGGATCAGCAGGCAGCAGGAAGAGAGACGCACTGGGTCTGACTTGAGCATTTGAAATCTCAAAACCTACCCCCAGGTGACACACTTGCTCTACCCAGGTCACACCTCTTAATAGTGCCACTCTCTATGAGCATATGGGGGCCATTTTCATCCAGACCACCAAAAGACTACACACTGTTTATTTCACTGACAGTGTCTTTATAGAAATTGTTAAAGCCTCCCAAAAGTCATTTCTATTTATTAACTCATATTGTTAAAATAATCTGAGTTAGTTAAGGGAGAGAAAAGTGGCTTTCCCAAGATGGCACACCACAGTTGTCTTCACAGCCTAGCCCTCTCTGTGTTCCATTTGACCCTCAGTGCAGTGGTGACTTGGAGGTCCCTGCTTTGTCTACCCTTTTCACTGTTGTTTATGTTTACAACTGCTTCTCACTTCTTGGAGCTGTGGTTTTTTGTCTCTCTCATTCTGTCAGACCACTTGAAAGAATGATCACATACTTGTCATTCTTAGCCACAGTCCACTCCTAACACTACTTTCCAGGATGTCTCCAAGCATCTTGAATCCCCATGTACAGTGGCACCTTAGGTACCTTTGGCTGGTTCTGTTCTTCAGCAACTTGGATGCCAATTACAGAGTTCCCCGAAAACCTTCCTTTCTTTGTTCCTGGAACTATATACTCACTGAGTTTCCTCTAGTTTCCCTTTTTATTTCATTTTATTTGTTTGTTTGTTTGTTTATTTATTGTGTGTGCATGTGCACATACCATGGCACAATAAAATGTCAGAGGACAACTTGTGGTAGTTATTTTTCTCCCTCCACCATGTATTTGACTTCTGGGGAGCCTAGGGATCGAACACTCATTGTCAGGCTTGGTAGCAAGCGCCTTTACTAGCTGAGCCATCCTGCCTTTTTCTGAGATTGCTTTCAGTTACAGGTCTCTGGCAAAGCTGCATGGCCTCCTGAAACATCCCCTTTGATTTTTTTTTTTCCCCCCCTTCAGCACATCCTTTTTTGGTAAGCTTCACGGCTATCCTAGAAACATGTCTGCTAAGGATCATCTTTAGTCTTGGCTCTTCTCACTGCTTGTCCCTTTGATGAAACTAAACTCTTGGTCATTAGTTCATTTCACCCAGCAAGTCAACAGGAAATGTTTCCTACATACTAAATCAACATGATTCTGATACTGGAAGAAAGGTGTGCAAACATGAACTGAATCAGAGCCCGCCTGCCCCATGAGGTCATTCACTGTATGCATTGTGTCTTGTGGGAAGACAGTGGTATCTGAGGGTGTCTGGGATGCTGGGAAGACCCGTTAAAATAAGTTACATTTGAGTAAATCCTTATAGATGGAATCATATGAGAAGACCAAAGCAAGCAAAATGACTCAAACCCATGAAATGGAAAGTGGATGCCAAGTACAGAGAAATGGAGAAAGTGCTTCCAAGACTGAAGATGGAGGGCTTGATCGGGGGCTTGCTTACAGTTTCAGAGGTTAAGTCCATGATCATCATGGCCAGGAATGAAGTTGCATGCAGACAGGTACTGGAGCTGTAGCTGAGATTTTACATCCTGATGTGTAGGCGCATGGAGAGAGGCCTGGCATGGGATTTAAAAACCTCAGAGCCCACCCCCAGTGACTCACTTCCTCCAGCAAGGCGGCACCTCCTAGTCTGTCTGATCTTTTCAAACAGTCCCATTCCCTGGTGACTTAGCAG